CAGGTGCTCCGGAAGTGCTCACACTTGCGACACATGGAGTTCACCGGCAACAACCGTATGCTGGAGGCGGTGATCAGCCACTGTCCGCATCTGCAGAGCTTTCATCTTCACGCTCGGCGCCGACATCACTGTCCAAACGATCGACAAGTTTTTCGCCCGCTTTGGCCGACAGCTGGTGTCGGTGGTCGGCGAGACTCGGGGCCGATACCTGTGCCAGACGGCGATCGTAAGGGGCGTACGCCACTGCCCGGAGCAGCAGAAGCTGTGCCTTCAGTCTTCGGGCGAGAATCAAACCCTCCGACACGTGTCGGGCCCGCGACAGGAGCTGCTGTTTGACAAACTCCAGACACTGCACGTCACGCACAGCGCGCAGACGGCCGGCGGCGGCGACGATCTCAAACGCTTGGCCCGATTGACCGCCACCGATGGCAACCGCTTCCGGCGCCTACACCTCACTGTCCACCGTTGCGGCGCTGTGTCCGTCAGCTCATTGGCCGACTCACTCACCCAAATGCCGGCACTCATGGAACTCACCGTCAACTTCAAGCCCACCGATGACTCGAGCGGACAACTGTTGGCCTCGCTATTGGCCGAATTGGGCGACTAGTGTCGGGGTGTGCGACGGCTGGAGCTGTTGGCGCAGGTGGTGAGCGATCGGGCCATGACTGACATCGTTAACGCAGTCAACTATCACTACCGGGCGCTGCGGCGGCTCACCATTAGGGGCACATTCCCGGCCATTTACGTGTTCACCGGTGCGGCCGTTAAGCGCTGCGGTCGGCGACTGACACATCTGGCGCTGCAGACGTGCCGCACGATTAACCCGCCGATCAGCGACGGCCTGTTGGCTACCGTAGACAAGACACTGTCTCGACTCCAATGTCTCCGGGTGTCCAACGCCAACGTGACAAACGCCGGCCTGCAAGCGGTGGCCAGACTCGAGCGACTACGGCGCCTGGAGATTGACTACACCCGCCATCAGTTGGCAAATCACGGAGCGATCGACGCCGTGAGGGCCGACCGTAAAGTGCGGCGAATACTGATCCGCAGGCAGTCTGTGCTGTCGGCCAGTCGGCACGCATTGGTGCTTAAATTTTACCCCCAGTTTTATTTGAATTACCCGTACGTTCAGATGCCCTGACCCGTGGCCGGGTGTGTGTAGGAGTGTGTGCGGGTCGTGTAGTGCTTGTACGACACGTATAGTTGTGTTTAGGGTTTTAATTGTGTGTTTAATTACGACTAGTGTTAGGATCATTATATTTAATGGGACTTTTATTAAATGAATTTTATAAATATTTTTTAATTTATTTTATTATTTTTTAAGCTATAATTTTAGTTGATTGCAAACTCACTGTGTATTTGTGTTGCAATTTATAATACAGTATTATATTTGCATTTTTTGTATAATTATTGCGTAAATTAATTGAAATAATAAACAAATGGTTGTATTTTTTGGATTATTTTTTTGTGTTAATAATAAACACGTTTAATATTAAATATTGAATCAATTAATTTAATTAATTGATTATTTATAATAATAATAAATACTATTAAAAATTTTGTAAACATTTTTCTATTAATTGAATAACAATAATTTATAGTAATGTTATCAGTCATTCGCTTTAATTGAAATCGCAATTAAAATACAGTGCAACCCCTCAATAGCGAACCCTCTCTACAACGAATACCCCTTCATAGCGAACGATTTGAAATCATTTGACGGATTCGCTATACATTTAATGTTAATAAACACCCTTAACTACGAACCCCTCCATAACGAATACCTCTCTATAGCGAACGGATTTCTAACATTTAAAAGTACTCAACTCTCTTGTGATCGAAAGTTATGAGACTTTACTCCAAATAAAATTGTTTTGAAACATTATAATTATTGGTTTTATTAATAAAACATATTATATGTATTGTTGTTTATAAGAAATACATGTGGAAAGCATTGTTTTAAGTTAATAATTGTGTAATCAATAATAATGTCTCAAATAAATAAAAGACAATCAATTGATTTAAAAACGAAATACAATATTTTACGGGACATTGAAAAGGGTATTAATTATACTGTCATTAAAAACAAATATCTCAAAAGTGTATTTTTGCATATTATTCTAGTAAATTCTTATATAATAAATGATTTTATTAACATTTTAAATTATACCCTCTTTATAACGAACGATTTAGTCATGCATTTGGCCGTTCGCTATGGAGGGGTTGCACTGTATATTAACCTTCGTGTTAAGGATAATGTGATACCAGTTAATAGTTTCCTTTCTTATAATAAAAGTTAATGTTTTGTCTTAAGCCATTCAGTGATACAGTTCTCGCAAAATAAGTTGTGGTAATCGGAGTGTTGAATTTTATTGTTGATTTTTAAGATAAGATGTAAATTATGATAACAAACTCAAAATAAAAAAACGCTATAATGTTAGTGCTAATATTTTGTTAACACTTTAATCACTAAATTATTAAGATATGGTTGAAATAACACAACATAATATCTTTTAACCCTTTATTATTTTTAAATGTTTTGCTTCTTATTACATATTTTGTTTAATATTTTTATATGTTAATGATTACAATAAAATTTAATATTTAATTACGTTGTTGTCATTAATATAAACAACATTTAATGAGATAATTATATAAAACAAATTTTGCAAAACACAACTTATGCTAATATTATGATTTTAATAATTTACACCCGATTAATAACTTTACAATTTTTATAAATAATTTTGAATGAGGTATGAGATGAAGTGAAGGTAATATTGCTAATTATCGGATATTAATCTCTATATATTTAATGAAAATTTGCATTAAAATTTTATTGTGTTTTACATGTTGTTTAAGATAATATTGTTTAAGATAATCTTGTTTAATATTTTGTGTATATAATGTTTTTGACAATAATTGACATGTTTTATAAATTGTTGGCATTTTTTGGTTTCAATTGCACCATGGTATGTAATTAATTTTATACCTTAAGAGAAAGAAAGAAAGAAAGAAAGAGAGAGAGAGAGAGAGAGAGAGAGAGAGAGAGAGAGAGAGAGAGAGAGAGA